TTAGGATGTGGTTAATATAATACAGGTTAGGATGTGGTTAATCCAATACAGACTAAGATGTGGTTAATCCAATACAGACTAAGATGTGGTTAATCCAATACAGGTTAGGATGTGGTTAATCCAATACAGACTAGGATGTGGTTAATCCAATACAGGTTAGGATGTGGTTAATCCAATACAGACTAGGATGTGGTTAATCCAATTCAAATTTAGGTGTGTTAATTCAATATAGACTAGGATGTGGTTAATCCAATAAAGACCAGTGTGTGGTTAATACAATACAGGTCAGTTCAATATAGATTATGATACCAACAGGAATAAGATTTTAAATATGTTATTCTATAAGCATTATTGTTTATGTTTCTAATACTGAAGCATTATACAATACAAGTTTTAATCTCAAAATATTCTATTCATTTTCATGGTCGTTAAAATAAATAAAGAATCCAAAAACAAAAATAACTTTCTATATAGAATGTTATAAGCTAAATGCAGGTAAGAAAAAAAAGAATACATACCAGCTGAAGTAGGGGGATGCAGGGATCCACCAGATACCCCCTCCATATCAATAGATATTGCTGTTGCTCCTAATGAAGTAATGTTGGGTTTCTCCAGGTCCCCATCACAGTCTGAAGTACGTACAGTTGGGAGAAAAAAATTATAACATGCTCATTTACTTTTATTTTCGGAAGCAATGAATGAACAGACATCCATTTGTTTACCAATACAAATGGTATTAACAGATAAATATTCTCAAGGATCATTTCACTACAACTACGTTCGTTCTGCTTAAATACTTTTAATAGTTCTAAATTCTGGTTTTTAATTAATATATTTGGTTTAAGTGTAATCTAAAGTACAATAACTTTTGGTCTTGGAACTTAGCTTATAAATATTTAGAGGCTGTGTAAGGTTTTACTGAAATACATTATAACACATGTAAAATAATTTTTGGTGCTTGAAACTTATAAATATTTAGAGGCTGTGTAAGGTTTTACTGAAATACATTATAACACACCTGTAACTAAGCTAGTAATTTTATTTTGATATCCTTCAGTTTTCTTGAAACAAAGCTTTAACTGGACACAATTAAAAAAGCTGATATATTCTCTCTCTAAAACCAAGAAAGAAACTTAGAGGAAATCTATACTTAGAATATCTCTACTAGGTATCCTTAAATTTTAACTGATAAGACTACAAAGGCAGCTAATCAACAGCACCCACCACCAACTTTTGGGCTACTCTAATTCAATAGTGGGATTTGATGCACCTATAGTTCTCATTAATAATGACTAGAAAAGTGGAAGTTTAACATTAAAAGATGAAAACTAGAAGCAGAACATTACAACACAATTCTTATTAATTACAGGTGTCCATAAACACAAAAATCTTCTTTTTTTCTTTCAAAGAAAACGACTTGAGTCGACTTATTAACGAGCTATGAAATACAAAATGCTGAAAAAGAATAGTTTTATTTTTAACATCTGTGTGGGTAGCTTCAGTACAGTATGAAAGACTTTATGTATTTCAGTGTTTCACCATACACTACGAAATCATCAATCATTTATTTTGCCAAAATTAAAATGCTATACCTTGAAGAAGATGATACACAGGTGAAAACAACGCACTTGCTGGATCAGAGGTTTGAATACCATCATTGAAAACAGTTTCTACAACACAACAAAACAATGTAATAATCCAGTTATATATATATATCAAAACACGAAGTCTTTACAATTTTTAAATTATTCGATTCTACTACTTCTTTGTATACAAAATTACATCATATAAACAACACGTGTATAGACTGTCAACACGCACGTTTTATAATACATAGATAAAAATCAACAGGAGTATATTGTAAAAACACATCATTTAAAATATGTGGCTAACACAGCAACAGATATGACAATTTAACTAAAGTTGAATACGCTGTTATGATTTGAAAATATTTCATTCTCTCTCTCTCTCTAGTGATAAGTAAAAAAGTTTGAAATGTTTCCAAACACAGAAGTTACAGAAAAGCTACCAAGTTCCACAGTTTAATGTAGGTAAACACACGTGAACAACAATTAATCTCCATAGCTTAATCTATTAATTGTTGTTTATGTGTGTTTATCTAGATTAAGCTATGGAGATTAATTGTTGTTTATGTGTGTTTATCTAGATTAAGTTGTGGAGAAATAAAAACACAAGATCAGCTATTGATCTCCAATTTAATCTTACGTAAACAGACAAAAATAGATATTAATCTCCAAAGTTTAATCTAGATACACATACAAACCTTTGATAAGGGAGTGTTTTTCTGCTACTTGTATCTTATCTACACTTGTTATAAGTTTCTCAGAAAAACACATGTTTTCTTGTTTGCTGTTTTGATGTAGAATTGTCCCTTCTTCTTTTTCTTTGAGCATCTGCTTCTGCTTCTTATAATCAAAGAGGAAAATAATTACAAAACAATCACTGCATGCACACTTTTATTGAAAGATTAGATTAACAGTACTTACAATTACGAAAATCTTTTGTCTGAGCACATTAATGTTTTATATCTAGGAAGTAATGTTTGAAGAAACAATTATTCATTATATATAAAAAAAACAGAAATTTTGATTTTAATACGTACTAGAGCCGAGATAATGTTCCCTTTTTTATTGCATTTCAAATACAAGCAACAATATTAGAAACTTTTATTAAGACAGTCTTTTAAACCCTTTTAAGTTTGGAGAATATTCCCTAACTTTTGACAATACGTTTTCACATCTATAAACACAAAGTAGTTTGAAAATAAAAAACATTTGCGAGCAACATCTAACTGAATGTAATCTTCCATGAAAATTACCTTAACAATATTATTTTTAAAACGGACACGTAAAAGTGATTTTACGAGTTTTACTCTATTATTAAAATTTTGGATAGTTCACCTTCTACAAATTGATTCTCAGTATGCTACGTTTGTTATTTCATAGGTCACAAAACTTATCTCAAATGGTTGGTTTATCTTCAGTTCACCAGTTTACACTAAGAACAGTACCATGTATAATATTATCTACATACTAGAAGCAACTTCAGCAATTATCAGGATATTGACTTCTAGTTAGTGTTAGTGCCTTAGGCAAATCTTGTACCATAAACAAGAAACTAACCCTTAACAAAAGAAAGACTGAGTCATGATGGTTGTTTTGAAAACAAGTCTTACAACCATACAAGACAAACAAACAGAAAAAGCTTCAGCTCTACATGCAATATGTGCAAAGATACAGGCTTTTGCATCAAGTTAAACATTTTGAATTTTTTAAAAATAAACAAAATATGAATGTTTTTACTGTTAAATGCATTTTTAGAAATTGAACTTAGCACAAACCACAATAAAAAAAATGCATAATAAGGATGGAAACCTGTGTAGCTCTAAACATTTCCTAATCGTCATAACATCGACTCAAAAGAATAAAACAGAGTACAACAAACCCTCTGGTGTTTATGCCGGAAGAGACATGCCAAATATAAACAAAGTAAACAAATAACAAGTTGAACTACGTAACAACAAAAAACATATTTTGAATGTCCCACTTTCTAATCTCTCTTTGTGTCTTGTGAAGGATAATGTTACATGAATATTCAATAAACTAAAAGTATCAAAATTCATGAAAAAATATCTTTAAGTTAAACGATGCACAACAATTAAAACTACTATCCTGAAACAATACAGGATTATCATTTTTATTAAACACTGTCACTAAAATCACTGCTTTAATCTTATAACAGTTTTAATGCCATGGCATGGTGCATAACATATTTACCTGATATCCTAAAAGTATCACAAGCTGACATACAGTTCTGAGTAATGATCCGAGAATACTGAAAAAACAAACTTAGGTAGCATATGCATGGAGATGCTTGATCTTCTTAAATTAATTGTTGGCTTGTTTTAGAGCAAAGGCATATTGGGCTATCTGCTGTGTCCACTGTGGGGAAGCATACCCTGGATTTTTAGCATTGTACGTCCATAAACTTACTACTGTTCCTCTAGGGGGCACTTAAATTAATAATTTTAAACATTAAACTGGATATTTCACATTTCATGGTTTGATGATAATTGCTAAATTTTCAAATCAGATCAAAAGTCTTTTATGAACATGTGTTTTATTATATTATAATTAGATATAAATACCTCATTAAAGAAGAAAATACTAGATCATCTCTTTGCTACACTCACAACTTATCTTAAGCCTACTTACCAATGTACACATCTTAATAGTAAATAGCCAGATGGCTGTAATGTATTACATACTGTGTTGGCTTATACAGACTCGTAAGAATTACTCTCTTTACACTCTGTATTGGTTTTTACTCTCATATAAATCACTCTCTTTACACTTTACATTTGTTTTTACACTCATACAAATTACTATCTATTTTCAAGGATGTCTTTATGCAATACGAAGTTCTTTCCAGCTGCAGGTATTTCTTTTGTCTAAGAAGACATGCTTATAAGCTATGGACTTAAGATAGTTGCTAATACAAAACACTTATTAGAAAACTCGTACATTTTTAGAACCAATCATTTTTAAACAGCTATTGACAAAATTTCACATTCTTTTTAACTGAAAACATGATATACTAACACACTTCATTTCACCCATTCAGTTGTTTAAACTGTTCTACACAGCTAAAAACTGCATTTCAAATTTCCAGCATTGAGAACCATGTTAAAGCCAAAACTTTCTTCTGTAATTAAACAGTTTTTCTCCCTTTTTTTGGGTAAAATAAAGTCTAGTAAAAATAAAAAAGGCTGACATATCACATACTTTGATCAATACTTTCTTATTACCTCAATTTTAGATAATGAAACAATAAAATTGAGACACAATAACAAAATAAAGTCATACAGACGACAAAAGCCATGCTACGTATGAATATCTCAGACTTAGCCAAAACAACAGACTTGACAAGTGGACAATACAACTAGTGTATATATTACATTGGTCTCATGTATAAAAGAAAGAAAAGCTGTAACAGAAATTCTTAACAGTTTAAGAAAAGCCGCCCGAAAAGTATTTAAGTTTAATAAAGCTCTTAAGTACTCTATTTAGTTATTATAACTCGTCTACTGAACTTTAGCTTAAGAGAAATTATATCCATTTTACTCCCTTTCCTACCGAGATTGTTACAATGACAACGATCTTCTAAAGATCCACCATAGGTCGAGTTATTGCAAACAAATGTGTGTGCATAATGGTGAACTTGTATATTATATGCCCTGTTTTTTGGCATAATAGGAATTCTTACACCTACACGATATAGTCACAGTTCTTTGTTTCTCTGTTAGTTTTTCTTGCATATCTGGTGGCAACTTATCAGGACAGTCAGCCGAGAATTAACCAAGACTAGGTATAAGCTAGCAGAACTGTGAATAAGCCACCTGAATCAGAGTGAGTTTAATATCTGGTGGCAACCTATCAGGACAGTCAGCCGAGTATTTACGAGACTAGGTGTAAGCTAGCAGAACTATGAACAAGCCACCTGAATCAGAGTGAACTTGATATCTGGTGGCAACCTATCAGGACAGTCAGCCGAGTATTAACGAGACCAGGTGTAGGCTAGCATGCAAGTCTTAATTATAAAATTAAGACTATTAAGCCAAAAGAAATAAATGAATACGGACGCAACCCTTTATTTCTGTTCTTACAACAGAACTGTAAGTCAGGCACAAAATTACAGCAATACAATTTATTGATGACCTAACATGGAATCATAAAAAAAAAATTAACAGTTACCTGCAGTGACTTCTTATTCAAGTGTCTCTTATGTCCTGCCAACTTGACCGATGTTACACAATCTTGAATATTACAGTCCACATCTTTTTCTTTCAAGATTTCAACAAGCCACGGGTAACTCCAGCTGTCAAACCTGTTGGTTTGAACAAGTTCTGTCGATTTTCTCCAGCGCCTTCCTCTCACTCGCCTTGTTACAGGCATCACTTAAGAATACCCAACTTCTGCCGAACATGTCTAGTTCCGACAGTCAATCTTCACTATAATGGAAGAAAAGGAATCATATCTTAATGTTCTCATCATTTAGTACTTGTACAACGTATGCATACAGTTCTGAAAAACTAGCTTGAAAAACAGTGGGGGAGACTTTTGTTTTTAACAAGCACAAATTTTTCTACAAATAATGTAGTTTTTAAATTTTATATACCACTAATTTTTTAATGAACATCATACAGTTTCAGTAATTTCATTTCTCCTTATAAAAGTAGGGGGGTTCTATTTTTTACGTAACGATCTCAGGCTAGAATAAATGTGTTTGCCAAAAGTGAAATTCTACTACCCCAATAATTTTTCTCTCTTACTACATAATGCAAATATACCCCTATTTACAAAACTAAGAATATCAATACGATTCACTACAATATATGTGATGTAGACGTGAAATTTATTTTGATGACCAGGAACTCACTTTTAGACAATAAAGTTTGAAGACGGCTTGATTGTTGGTTTGTTTTGAGTTTCCCGTCCCTAATTTAGCAGTAAAAGACTCTAGGGAAGACAGCTAGTCATTACCATTTATCGCCAACTCTTGGGCTACTCTTTTACCAACGAATAGTGGGATTGACTGTCACATTATAATGTCCCCACGGCTGAAAGGGCGAGCATGTTTTGGTGGGATGGGGGTTCGAACCCATGAGTGGAGCTCTCTAACCACCTCACCTGGCCATGCCAGTCCCAAGACGACTTGAATGGGTGACGAAGAAAACTTTATTACACATTTAAATGTGTAATGTTTTGTCATCATCAGGTACAAGTAGTTTACACAGACACATGAATATACGTACAGTATGGAACAGAAATCCATACTGTATGGATACGTTAACCAGTTTACATATTTGATAGACTGTTACTCTTGACATACTGAAAACAATATTGTTTGACTAATAATATAAAAAGGAAATGAAAACGTAAAATCTCCATATAGGTCATCCCGTTTACGTATATGATGAAATCAAAACAAGCATTCAGCTCGCCGCGCCCTCTTTCATCGCACTTAAGAACAAAAAAAGCCGCGGAATTGCGGTTGGTTAGTTATTTTGTATAATCACAACTGTTTCATCTCATATCAATAAAACTTTAGAATAAAAAATAAAATATTCTAATTCCAGTGAAACATAAAAACGAAGATAAATTTTTCATATAAATTCGAAACTAAAGAATTAGATATTTTAATTTACATGTTGTTAACCGAGTCACGGATATGTGTTTGTATTAAGTTAATAGGCTTATTATCCTATCGTCGATACACCGACTACCGACCTTACAAAAATCCATATACTACTAAAACTTTGAGATGGTTGTTTGTTTGTCTGTAATTAAATACAGCAAAAACGGCGCATAATATGAGAATAAAAATTTGAATAGAATATGAAAAATGAGAATAGAAACAGAATAAATAAAGTTTCGATAAAATCGGGCCACGGATTACCGAGTTAGCGCCGTTTTTCGGGTCACTTTTATGAAAATTTCTAGCATGAGTAATTTTACATCACACTACCGTTCGCGCTCTTTACGAAACTTCTTCGTTCAAATCTATTTTCCTGTTACCCCCGATCAACAATCAAATATCTTTTCTTTAATTATGAATAACACGAATGGATTGAAATAGTTAATTATCTCAAAATAAACCTTCATTTCGGTGCAATATTGAAATTAGCTTGAATTCTTCGTAACCTCTGAAATAGTGGGTGACCCAATGGGTCACGGTGGTCTAGTAACAACTAAAAGCATTTTTAAAATTTGAATACGTAAATAGACGGTTGAATGTTTCACACGTACACACATTTGATGTATGTAGAACAGCAACCAACACGGGAATTCACGAACTTCTGAACTCATGATTCACATCTTGTCTATAATATAAAGGCGTAATTTAATCATTTCCTACTTCAGTTACGGTTGCAAACATTTTCCAAAAAGTTATGAAAAGTACTAGAAAATCAGCCCCGCGAAGAATAGTCAGTGACGTATGCAGCATTGGACTTTGTTAAATTAGGAATGTTGTCCTTTACCACTGAAGACATGAGTACAAATGTACTTCCTAACCCCAGCAATCAAAGACATGAGTACAAATGCCCTTACTAACCCCAGCAATCAATACATTCACAACAGAACAAAAACCAACCAGCCTGGTAAATAAACACTATATACAATAATGGTGAATAAAAATTTTATATAAGCGTTCTCTTATATTTGATTTATTCTCTGCAGCGCATTTATGTAGTCTGCGTTTTACAAAGACTTTTAAACTTATTTACTGGATATCAGTGGACCTAAATACCACATCTACCATTAGGAACTCTTGAAATAAAGCTTAGTATCGCCCACAAATGTGCTTCTTGGGGCAACCAGGAGCTGGCTAAATACTAACTTTTTTTTCACATTACCAGACGATTAATAAGTTTATCATTACAGTACAACACACGACAAAAACGTCACGGGAAAGTAGTTTTATGGTGTTAAAACTCTTTCTTGTTGAAGAAAACTAATAAATGCTGATTGTTTATGTGTTACAAGCATTTCTTATTGGAGAAAACTAATAAATGCTGATTGTTTATGTGTTAAAACTATTTCTTGTTGAAGAAAACTAATAAATGCTGATTGTTTATGTGTTAAAACTATTTCTTGTTGAAGAAAACTAATAAATGCTGATTGTTTATGTGTTAAAACTATTTCTTGTTGAAGAAAACTAATAAATGCTGATTGTTTATGTGTTAAAACCATTTCTTGTTGAAGAAAACTAATAAATGCTGATTGTTTATGATAAAGAAATTCATCACAAAACAAATATTTCTTTAAAAAAAACACATTTAAAACAAGTATGTGTTTTATTCCTCCACAAAGAAACACTTCAGTGTATTTGATAAATGCATAAATAAAACGTAGAGGAAACTGTCTACATAATAGTTTTGATTCTAAGTCAGAATCAGTTCTTCAACACACACGCAGTAGTTAAATAAATCTGGTTAGGTTTAGTAATATACTGTTTTATACACAGATAGTCCAGGCGAATAGTAGGGGGGGGGGGATAACACGAATGGTAAATCGATACACGGTCCAAATCCTTTCCGTCCATCGATCTCATTAATCAATCATTTCCATCGATCAACCAGCATTCACATTCAGTGGCTCCAACTTGCTACACCGGGGATCCTTGGCTCTAATCGTTTTTCGATGGGTAAATACTAAGCTAGAGAACAACATAGATCTTAGAGATCTCTAAATGTCACCGTAACCCGGTTGGCCCGAAGAAAGTAACTCCAGTGTTCACGCGTTTGATCACCTTTATGCTTAGGACGTAAACACAAGAACCACTGTCGATCTGTGTAGAACCGCACAGTAACTTACACACACATTTTAATAAAATAACTGTTGTTATTTCTCTAAACTAACGTCGAATTCAGTTATTTGCATGCTTAGGGAAATTATCATAATCGAGCAAACTAGTAAACGATCTTTCTATAAAAATGACACATGTGTGTTAGTATCCATCACCCACAGTTCGATTACTTTGTTTGTTTGTTTTCAATTTCGCGCAAAGCTACACGAGGGCTATCTGCGCTAGCCGTCCCTAATTTAGCAGCGTAAGACTAGAGGGAAGACAGCTAGTCAACACCACCAGCCGCCAACTCTTGGGCTTCCGTTTTACCAACGAATAGCGGGATTGACCGTCACATTATAATCCCCCACGGCTGAAAGGGCGAGCATGTTTGGTGTGACGGGGATTCGAACCTGCGACCCGCAGGTTGGAGTGAATGGGATAAAATTTCGCACAATTTCAAAAACTTAAAACATATTTTCCACGTTTTATCATATATATATATAGTTTTATAAACGTAGGCTCCAATTACTCTTAAATCAAAATGTATAAAAATAATCATTAAAACATTAAAAAAACTCCACTGATAGTCTGCACTATCACGTGACTTAGGATTTTTAAAAATGATCGCAAATAAACTTCTTACAAAACCAAGCACATATAATGATATTAGAAAAAAAAAACTTGTTAGAATATTATTTTTAACTATGATGGTTTCCATGGCCAGCCTCGTGAATCAGTAAAACAATTGTTTTTGCCAGTCTCTGTGTATGTTGAACTTCTTGAGGCAATAATCACGATGAGAGACTTTAAGACTCGACTTTATTCATTTAAAAGGCCAAAGTTCAAAGTTCTTGCATGACCAGCAGCCAGTAAACAAAAACACATATTCTTGATATGTTTTCACTTACTATGAAAGTAGGTCAGACATTTTTAACGTCAGTGGGTCATGGTGGACCGTGTCACCGTGGGACAGACAGGGGTAGGTTATTATTATTTCTAATTTAAAGTTAACCTTACCAGAATTACCTACCACGAAACACGAGCATCTAATGAGGCCATTACGGCTTTAATAACAAAATCAAGATGGACGTTACGTGTCCTCTGTGGCAAATCTCATATTGCACTCTTCAGAAAATGAAAGATTTTCATCTGAATTGATTCCTACCATTTTAAACCAGACGTTTTTTAAAAAAATAAACCCCACCTTTTAAGTATTGTTTGATTTTGAATTTCGAGCAAAGCTACAC